AGGGCTTCTGGGGGCCAGAAGTATTTTTAATGGTGGGTGACCAGAGAAAACTTTGGTCTTTAACTCAGAGTGCCACCTATAGGGCAGAAGGTTGGATCCATTAGAGAGGAATGATTTGCTTAGGATCAAGACCCCAGCCATAGATCATGGGACAGAGAATGTACAGAAGGAAGCATGTTTGCAACTGATGAATGACAGATGTTCCAGGACAACCCTCACCTACATCACTGGTTATCCAAGTATGCAGCTCACAAAGTTAGAGTTTTTCTGGATGTGATAAAACAGTGTGGCAGAATTACAGGATCACTTGAGGCAAGGGTTAACCCCACAGAGAGGAAGACAAGGAAAAGAACCTTAACATGGGAAGAGAGATCTTAGGGACTAATTAACTATGGCAGAAAGATGGGTTTCACTGAATGATTAGTAAACAGCACAACAATCAGGAGACTGGAATTGCAGCAAGGAAGTGGGCTACCCAAAAGGGAGCAGCAGGGTCCCAGTGCCAAATGGAATGCAGTGTGAGTGAAAGGCTTGCAGAAAGGAATTTCTTGAGAAGAGATAAATTATCCACTGCTATTCTGGACAATGTAGTACCTGGAATGGAGTGGCTGGGGAAAAGAAAAGTTGCACTCCCTTGTCACAGGCAGAAAAAGGATGTGGATATGAGAGCTGGAATTCCTGAGAGACGTGACCTATCATTACTACAGCCCCACAGGCTAATGTTGTTAATTGGAGTCTTAGAAACAACTTTCACCATCCTCAGTGAGTGAACTGGGGGCTGGCAGCTGCAAACATTTAAGATGGCCAAAAATAAGACTGACCCAGAAAATGAGGTATCAAAGTCGCCACTGGTTTCTGAGATGGAGACAGGAGAAAAACTGAGAATCCAAGTTGATAAATTTATGACTGAGAAAGACCATCTTAGGACCCTAAGTAAGGACTAAGCAGAGTATAAGGAAAGACAATTATCTGATAATTTTAATAGGGAAAAGATCTGAGAGAGGAAATAGGAAGAAAGCAGCTGAATTATCTCTGTTACTGAGAATGGAACAGTTGCAGAAATAGTTCCAGGAAGAAAAAGAGAAAATATGAAAACTGAAAGAAAAGGCAAAGGTGATGCTTAAGCAAGCTGCCAATTCACCACATTGTACAGAGTCCATTCAGGTGGCTGATTTGCAAAAGCATTCCAGGCACAAGCCAAGTGAGACTGAAATCCAACAAGTGGAACCCTTTCAATACATATGTACTAATGACCATACATCCAGATTCCAGTTGGTTTTTGTCAACAATTAATTACATTTCTAATAGATACAGGAGTACAACACTCAGTACTGAGTCAAGTAGCTGAGTGTATGACCCAGACACCAAGAGTTAAAATCACTGAAGTAAATGGAGCAAATGTTATCTGCCAATCTGCTAAGGTTAATTTATGGTTCCTGGATAAGAAGTGGACATCGGCAGATTGCTTTTCAATCTATGACAATGACAATATTTGGGGTTTTGATGTTCTAAACGATCAAATTTATTGCCTGCCTGATGGCAGTGAGTCAATGTTAATGTTTGAACATTAGCCTGAACCCTAAAAGGAGTCCAGAGACTGTGCTGGCTCCACATGGCACTTGCACTCCCTGATCCAAGGACTGCTAGTGTATTCCAGTGCTGGATTTTTGCTGCAGGGAAAAGTGGGATTTCTGACGTTCTGGTCAATTTGGCCCTGCTAACAGTTGAAATACCCAATACTGCAAACCTGGCAGCCACAATATAAGCACTGGTGTGCTTGGGCATTAATGGGGTGGTGACAGAATTAGAGAAAAAAGCTACTATCAGTCAGTCACACTCCTATCTCTCCTGTCTAAGATAGTGGCCAGTGATCATTTTAACACACTCCAGTCTCATAGAGGTTGCCACTGTTTAGCCAATGTTTGCTGTTGGCATTGCCATTATGTCACATATAACAGAATATTCTGATTTGAAGGGGACCCACAAGGATCATCAAGTCCAACTGTTAGATGAATGGGCCATACAGAGATCAAACCAACAACTGTGGTGTTATGGTCACCATGCTCACAGCAACTGAGCCAGTCTCAGGGTCTGGATCACAAAAGAGCCGAACAGACAGTTGTGGCTTACAGTTTATTACAGGCAGTTGAATGCCAATACCACAATCACTAAACTGTGATTTAGTACTGCTGTACTAAACTTTGCAGAACTGATAATTCAAATTAGGAGAGCACCCTACTCATGGAGGACAACTCAAATTGCAGGAGACCTCCCTGAAAACACAGGAAGCAGCAATAGCAATGGGCAAGCACTTCATAAAGTAGAGGTTAAGATTCTTCCTGAGGAATGTCAAGGCCTAACATCATTAAAGACCAATGAAACATTCACTATTCAACTCAACCACATTTAAAGAGATGGAACAGAGAGATTCTAAGTGGGAAAAAGGACTTTTATCATGAGTCTGAGTGATTAAACAACTTGACCCACTAAGGGCTAACCTGTCCAGGCTAATGCTGCCAAGTCTCATATTATTTTTTCTTTCCAGGAATGATATCAGTAATGATTCCAGCACACTCCCAGTGAAGATCAAGTTAACCATTGAAGGACAGCTCATCCTTCTTGCAGGAGCAATCACTGCCAGCAGGAACCAAATTTGGTTCACACATTAACAAGTTCAACCTACAGGTGGAGTCACTTTTTATTTAAGCTATTAAGTATGGTAACTTAGAGCATGCATTCTACATCACACATGCTTTTCAGTTTTAAGTGTAATTAATTGAATATATCCAGGGATTTTACTTATTACCCAAATTAGATTACATTCCCAATATTATGTCCAAGGATTGCTCCCACCAAAAAGGTGCCATGATAGAGAGGTCATGGCTGGCTTTTAACTCCTCTGTGCAGCCTCTCATCAGCACCGCAAACACTGGGGCTACATGCTTTCCTTTCTTTGCTATGGAAAAGAACATCTCATCATTCTTATCCAGGAGCTCATCATTCAAATGTGGATACCACCTCCAATATTATATATGCCCAAGGATTATTCTCATACAAGAACTGCCAGGTCAGAAAGCTTTCACTGATCTTTATCCCCCTAGGGCAGCGTGTAATCTGCACCTAAACCACTGGGGCTACATGGTTTCCTTCCCAAAGTAAAGCACTAATTTTCTTTCAGGAGCTTTGTCCATTGGAGGTAAAGGCCAGCAAGACCCATCTGTCCACATTTTGTGTGGGAGCAATCCTTGGATGTATTCAGTATTGGAGGTGATATCCAAATTTCAGTGATGAGCTCCTTAAAGATGAATGAAGCACATTTACAGGGGATGGAAAACACCTAGACCCACGGTTTAAAGTGTAGATTACATGCTGCCCCAGGGAGGTAGAATCCAGCAAGAGTTTTCTGACCTGATGTATTTTGTGTCATATATCCATCCTTGGATACTGGAATGTGGTATCCAAAGTAAGGTGGTGGACTCTTGAAGAGGATTAAAATGCTTTTCCATGGGAAGGAAAGGACATAACCCACTGTCTCTTGTGCAGTTATTCTTCCCAGAGGAGGTAAAGGCCACAAAGACATTTCTGCCCTAGATGATTTTGTGTTAGATAATCATTGGAAGTATTCCATATTGGAGCATGGCTCCAAATGCTGCAACTGTGCTCCTGAACATGAATGATAGTACCTTTCCTTGGGAAGGCAAACACATAATCCTGCTGATGGTGTTCAGATGACTGCACAGTGAAGGTAAAAGACAACAATAGCTTTCTGTTCTCACACTTTTTGTGTGGGAACAATCCTCAGACATTCAATATTGGAGGCTGAATCCAAATGTCAGAACTCAGGCCCTGCACGTGAGTAACAGTACCTTTCCTAGAAAAGCGGAACTCCCAATCCTAATGTTGATGCTACAGATGATCATCTGCCCAGTAGAGAGACATGCCAGCAAGACCTTTCTGTCCTGAAGCCTTTGTTTGGGAGCAATCCTTGGACATAATATTGGAAGTGGTATCCAAATATATTACACAAAATTGTGTGTTTGACTTCTGAAATGGATTGACAGTGCTTTTACATGGGATGAAAAGCAGCTAGCCACAGATTATAAAGTAGAGAGGGGAGAAAAATGCCAGCAAGACTTTTCTGCCCTAGTATATTTGGTGTGAGAGCAATCCCTAGATATATTCAATACTGGAACTTGTCTCCAAATGCTAGAACTAGGTTCTTCAACGTGAATGACAGTATCTGTTCTTGTGAAGGGAAACACCTTGTCTGACTGATGGTGCTGCAGATGATCATTTTCCAGGTGAAGGCCAGCAAAACATTTTTGTCCTGAAACACTGTGACTAAGTGATTTATTTTCCAAGGAAAAGCAGTGTCATTCCCTTTCAGGAGCACATATGAGAAATTTGGAAACTACCTCTACTAATGAGTATGTCCAAGGTTTGTTCCAACAGAATAGGTGCCTGGAGAAATAGGTCTTGCCTGCCTTTTCCTTTCCTGGGCAGACAATCACCTGCAGCACCAACAGTAGGACTAGGTGTTTCTCCTCCCAGGGAAATGTGCTTTCATTCACTTTCAGAGCCCAACCTCCTTAATTTGGTACCAAGCTCAAAATTTGGATCCATCCAAGGACTGCTCCCACACAAAATGTTCCAGGACAGAAGGTCTTTATGTCCCCTGGGCAGCCTTTCATCTGCCCCTGAAACACTGGTTACCTGATGTCACACTATATTAGGAATGGTGAAAGTATGACACAGACTCTCTGGCATGGTTGCACAAGACAGCAAGTTTTATTCTTCCAGATCTTTTATAGACAATTCTGAGAAGGTCTGAAAAGGTAAAACTCTCATTGGTCATGAAACTAACACCATCATTGGACAGTTAGGAACAATACCTCTTGACCATTTCTTGCAAGTAAACAACAAGGTGACACCTGCCAAGGTTGTTTTCCTTCTCTAAGGCCTGTTTGGATTCCTCCTTATGACTTCTCAGGCCAGAGTGAGAACTTTGTGTGACTTAGTTTCACACAGGCTCAAGCTAATGCCTGAAGCCTAAAAAATCTCTTATTTGACCATTGTCAGTTCCAATACCTTGAGGCATCATGAACCCACTGAGCCAGAAAAATCTCACCCCTGTGTGACCAGTCCAGACCCACCTGAGACACTTTAACCCTGGCAGCCCGATCCCCCTGTCCATTGTTGGGCTGCTCTTCAGTGCCCGACTCTTGGATCTGTGAGCACCCACAGGAGGGACTTTCACAGCCAACTTCTACACCTGGGCAGTGATGTCTTGCCCCAGTCCAGCAGCCCCAATGGGTGTCCCTCTTTACTGCCAACTGTCCTTCTTACATCATTCCAGCCACCTCCACAGAGCATTTGCCACCATCCATGAGTCAGTACAGAGGCAGAGTGTGGGCCACTTCTCTTATTCAGCCATACCCAAAGCCAGCTAGACGGCTTTAAGCTTTAAGGTCTGTAATCTGACTGGATCCACCTTGTCCTTCAGTGGCTTCCACAAACTGTCATGTAGGACTCCATACAGCAGCTTTTGATGCATCCCTACAATAAGGCAGGAATCATCACTAAAGAAAGAGTGATGCTTCTCATTTTCTGGTAACCAGAGCCTCCTTAGCATGTGCCAGCTTCACCTCCTCCTCTTCTGATGATAATCTGAAATTTTTGCCTCTGGGAGAAGCTTGTAATGACTTCCAAGATCCCTTTCCCTTTGAACATCCAGCCCAGCACTGGCAGTTGGGTGCCAGTGGAAGCTGTGTTTTGGTGCCAATCACTTCTGAAACAGATGGAACCTCCTCATAAGCTGACAGTATTTGTAGTGTGGTGTAGGACTATAGCTGGTCTCTGATCCTTTGTATCCCAGACTCAAGAACCATAGGGTGGTCCTTTAACTTCCTCAGGTCCCTTCTGACAGAGGCTCCAGGATGGACCATTCTCCCTGGCTGCAGCATGGAGCACATCTTCCACATCCTGTCCTTTTCCTGACTGGTCCAACAGCTACTGTTGGAACAATCTCCTCTTTAATTTGTTCAAAAGCTTGTTGCTGTTAAGGACCCCACTTGAAATCAATCTTCTTCCATGTCACATAATAGAGAGGGTTTACAATCTGACTGTAACTTCTCCAAAATACCACAGTGCCAGGAAAGCCTGTGTTTCCTTCCTGTTGGTCACTGAGGACATGGCTGCTATTTTGTTGACCACAACCACTGGAATCTGACAGCATCCATCTTGCTATTTCACTTCTAAAAACTTAACCTCTGGGCAGGTCCCTTGATTTTACCCTGCAAAACCAGCCTTCAGGAGGATCTGGGTATCTTATCTCCTTTCTCAAAAGCTTCCTCTGCTGTGGCATCACTCATACTGAAGTTCCAACATGTCCAGCATGGCAGCACTCAGTGATGGTGTGAGTTCATTCAGGCCATGACAGTCCACTGTCAGTGTCTGCTCTCCACGGGACTCAGGCAGAGGCCATGCGGGGCTGCTGAAGGGTGAGTGAGTCTTGCTGAGCACACCCAGCTCTCCAGTTCATGGATCAGCTCATGGATGGGGTCCTGAAGTCCCAGTCGGTGCCACGTTGCCAATGGGACACTTGTGCTGGCCATCAGTACCTGCTTTTCTTCAACCCTCAGCAGTCCCACAGCAGAAGGGTCCTCTGAAAGGTCAAGCAAGGGACTCAACTATCTTAATTTTTGCTGTCTCCATAGCAGCTCTCCCAAAGCCCAATGATGTAGTTTTGAGTCCTTGAAATACCTCTCCTGAGGTGATCTATGCCAAGGATACATGGAGCCTCTAGGCCAGCAACAATGGAGTTTTTCTGCCACCCATGTCCAGTCAGGAGCACTTCAGCTTCCAGTACAGCCCCTGTTGGTATCCCCCTGTCATCCCAGAAACAGAGATGGATTCTGCATGATGGCATCAGGGTACATTGTACACCTGTGTCAACTAAAGCCTTGTGCTCCTGTGGCTCTGCTGTGCCAGGCCATGGATCCATACAGTCCAATAGACCACACTGTTCTTTTCCCACACCTGCCTGGAGCCAGGGGCTCTCTAGCTGTGATCACAGTACTCATTGCTCGCTTCTTGTAAATATGACCTGGAGGTTCCTTTCAGAGGGTCAGAAGTAACATCAGCCTTTCAATTCTGCCTGAGGACTCGTCCAGTGGAAACTGAGTGGCATTTTTCCTTGAAGAGTTTTCTGCCTTTGAGACCCTTGTGAGACCCCTGTGAGACCCTCATGAGACCCCCATGAGAGACCCTTGTGTGAGAGACCTCAGGTGCCCTCCAGCTACCTCCCACGACTCACCAGAGGGCATAAGCCCCCAGGAAGGGCAGGTGGAAGTAGTGGTACTCAAGGACAATGGTGACAGTGACAGTAACAGCATCGCAGAACCAGCCAAAGGCCCTGAACTGCAACACAATGAGCCTGTATCCAGCAGGTGACTTGTAGGGGTACACCATCTCACCAGGATCAAAAAACTGCCTCTCCCCAAAGATAAACCCCACAAAGCCAAACACTATCTAAATACCTCATACCCCTCAAAACGGCCCCATTATTCCCCAAATACAGCTAGGGACAGGGGTCTCACCTGAACCTCACAATTATAAAACACCTGATGGGGGGCGAAAGAACTGAAAAAAAAGTACTTCCCTTCAGTGCGGGACGCTCCTGCATCCCAAAATATCCCCCAAATACCCACATACCCTCCCCAAACTACCCAAATACGGGTGGGTGTGGGGGTCTCACCTGAGACTTGTAGATGAGCAGGGTGATGTGAGTGGTACTGTACACGCTCATGTACACAGAGCTGGATGGAGCCCCCCAGTCTGATGGGGCCACTGAGAGACCAAACCCTGTGGGTGCCCCAGAGAGACCCCCAACTATACCTCACAGAGACCCTCCAAATACTGTGTAGGGACCCCTGACTGCCCCACAGTGACACACAGCTGCCCCCGTGCCCCCAGCCATCTCCCTATACCCCCCGTGGTACCTGTGATGGAAAAGCACTTGCCCAGCACGATGAGCATGAGGAGGAAAATGAGGGAGCTGATGGAGGGGGAGCAGCTGGCACGGGGACGTGGGGAGGGCTGGGCACTCACCTTCATCACACCCCCTACCCTCTGCTTCATCACCTTTATACCTCCTGTACTCTCCCAAGCCCCTCATCACCTCCCATGATTTCAAAGTGCCCCTGTGCCCCCCCATAACCCCTATACTTCGCTGTGAAAACCCCCCCAAACCCACTCAGAACCCCCAGCCCCACCAAATCTCAATATGCCCCTCAGACCTCGACACCTCCCAATCTCTGAAGATCCCCCCAAATCCCAGTACAACTTCCACAGACGCCAATGCTCTCCAGTCCCCGCAGCCGTCCCCGGCCCTCACAAATCTGCCCATAGCCCCCCAAGCTCCCTCTTCACGCTCCATGCTGGCAGCCACCATGAGCATCTTGTAGGTGGTGTGGAGCAGCTGTCATCCCTAGACCATGTCTGGGGGGACTGGGGGGTGAGCCCAGGATCTCTCAAAGCACCACCTCCCCCCAGGCCCCCTTGAAGCTCAGGTTTCTCCCCAGCCACTCACTGATGAATAATGAGAAGATGACAACGAAGAAATGAAGATGAGGAGGAAGGTGATGTCTGTCTCCAGGATGCCTGGGGAAAGTGGGGGGGTGGGGTGAGAAGGGGTTCACCCCATGAGGACCCAATACCCACCAGGCTGTCCACAGACGCCCCCTGCATTGCAGCCCCACCATCAATCCCCAAGTATCCCAACCCCTTCAGCTTCCTCAGACCTCAATAAGCTCCAATATGTCTCCCAATACTGATGCACCCCAATCCTTCCAACCCCCTAAACCCCCGAAAAGTCCTCCAGACCCTCATATACGTGCCCATCTCAATGCACCCCCAATC